TACTGCAGTCGCACCAGCCTCATCTCATATACGACCCCTCACATACCGCCCCCTGTACCTCAACTCCAGCCCCCTGTACCTCAACTCCAAGCCCCTGCACCTCAGCTCCAGCCCCCTGTACCTCACCTCCAGCCCCCTGTACCTCACCTCCAGCCCCCCTGTACCTCACCTCCAACCCCCCAGTACCTCACCTCCAGCCCCCCTGTACCTCACCTCCAGCCCCCCTGTACCTCACCTCCAGCTCCCTGTATCTCACCTCCAGCTCCCTGTATCTCACCTCCAGCTCCCTGTATCTCACCTCCAGCTCCCTGTATCTCACCTCCAGCTCCCTGTATCTCACCTCCAGCTCCCTGTATCTCACCTCCAGCTCCCTGTATCTCACCTCCAGCCCCCTGTATCTCACCTCCAGCCCCCCTGTACCTCACCTCCAGCCCCCTGTACCTTAACCATAAAAGTCTTGGAAAAGAGTGATGGGACGCCAAATTACAAATTTTATGGAACAGGAGAATCTTCACAACCCAAACCAGCATGGTTTTTAGAACTGGAAGATCATGCCTGTCACAACTGCTAAACCACTATGATATCCACGGAATTTCCAAATGCATTTGGTTTTTTGCGATCATTGGGTGATTACGCACAAAATGAAGGCCATACGTATAACGGGAAAGGTAGTAGTAGTAGTAATAATAATAATAATAATAATCAGCAAAATCCAGCATCAGCGAGGTAAAAAGCTCGGTTCCCCAAGGCACTGTCCTGGCACCTCTGCTGTTTCTCATCCTCATTGCAGACATAGATAAAAACACCCGTCACAGTTTTGTATCATTTGCAGATGACATTAAAATAAGCATGAAAGTCACTACGGTAGAAGATACTGAAAAATTACAGGAAGATATATTCGGCTCCCTGTACCTCAACCCCAGCTACATGTACCTAAACCCCAACCTTCTTGTACCTTAACCCCAGCTCCCAGTGCTTTAAAATCATCCTCAAGGATACCTGAAGGACCTTTCCTGGGATAACTTCCCGGTGGTCCGTTTCCAGACTAGGCCTTCTAGAAGATCAAGGCTTGATTAACCAGGCCTTTACTACTGGCCGCACCTGGTTCAGCATATGAACCTCAGGCCGGCTGATCAGGAACTGACTTGGGGAACTTCTCCAGTTCCCTTTTGAAGACAGCCAAAGGTTTGTTAGTAACTCCCCTTATGTATGGAAGGAAGGTGTTGCAGAGTCTGGGACCTTTGACATTCCTCGAGTTCTCCATTAATGTACTTGTCGCGCCCCTGCTTTGTAATGGAGGTATTTTGCACTGTCTGCCAAGTATCTTGTCATATGGAGTGATTTTGTTCCTATTTAGGGCCAGTCCCACCCTAATTTTCCAGGTGTAAATTATTATATATCTTTTCCGCCTACATTCCAAAGAATATAATTGAAGGAACTTTAAGTGTTCCAGTAATTCAGATCCTTGACTAAGTGTATACAAGTAGTGAAAGTTCTCCGTACATTTTCCTACTCAGCCTTGAAGTTGGACCTCAGTATTCCAGCCTGGAGAAAATCAGTTACTTGAAGAGTATCGTCACTGGCTTAGCATCCCTTATCTTTAAAGATCTTATCCAGTCTATCATTTTCCTTGTAGTAGCAGTGATAACACTATTGTGATCACTGTGTTGTGATCCTTGAATGTGAGACCTTCAATCATTATTACTCCTAAGTTTCGCACATTGGTCTTTCACTCTTGAATTTGAATTTGAGTTTGTCGTGTACTCTGCAGTCTTTATTTCCTTTTTTTTCTATAGCGGAGAAGCTGAAACTTGTCCTCGTTAAACTTCATGTTGTTGTCTGAGGTACACTGGAAGACTTGATTAATATCCCACTGAAGATTCGCTGTCTTCAACGGACGTTTCTCTCGTGTAGATTCTTGTGTCATCAGGAAAGGATGTTACAGTGCTATGATTTATGTCCTTATTTATGTCGGATATAAGAATGAGAAATAGAAGTGGTGCGAGTACCGTGCCTTGAAGAACAGAGCTTTTCACTGTGGCATCCCTACAACTTCACTGTTTTCTACTGAGTTTTACTTGTTTTGAAGTACAGTATCCCTCCGCTCACTTTTCTAGTTATTCCTTTTACTGATGTTAAGTGCACAATCACACCATGGTCGCACTAGTCACAACACTTTTGCAAAATTATTGTACACTCCAATATTTAGCTGTTTTCCGGTGTTGCTATTCGTCTGGCAACAAGATGGCAGGGAAAAAAATGCGGGACGTTCAAAAGTGATTGTTTGACTCTGGTAATGCGGGAATGGGGTGTTGAGGGCGGGTTCCCAATTGGATTGCCATGCAAATGTTGCTCAACAATGTTTAGGCAAGTAGCGCGCTTCGGAGTGCTACCTTAAACACCAGGATGTTTTCCATCCCTTCAGATTACCTGTAGTCGCATCCTGAGGTCCATGATTTTAGGAAAGAACTCAGCAGGAGCTGCCCATGATGGTTCTAGGTCAGGTTAGGTGAAGTTTGTCAGGAAATACTACAAGCGTTTCCTGATGCGGATTTTAGTCACATGATGATCCGCAGCTAAATCTTTTGGTCATGTGACCGAGGCCTTTAGCTAGCTTACCGGTCTACCCATTTAAAAATTATGATAATTCTAAATTCATCGTTGAAAAATGTATGCTGTTGATAACTATGTATATATACTAGTATACCTTTGATGAGTTTCGAGTCTTTCTACTCCCGCAGCCCGGCCATGGTCCAGGACTGTATATACACACACACTCGGAACACACTCCAGGTAGACCTCGATGACCCTGGGAACACACGAGGCAGACCTCGTCGTTATTCTAGGTCACCTCTTATCTGTCCATGACACTGGTGACTGTTACCCCCAGGGGTCTGGTCCCAGACCAGGCCTGGGGGATGCCTTGTTCAACCAGGCTATCGGTGCTAGCTGCATGAAGCTCAGTGTATGCATCACAGCCCGGCTGATTAGGAACTGTGTTGATGAACTTGTCCAGATCCTTCCCGGAGAGTGTGGTTGTCGGGATGTATGATGCAGATGTGGTCTCGAGATAGAGGAGGTCGGTTGTAGGGCTGTATGATGCAAGAGAAAGTGGTTGTATGATGGAGGAGAGGGTGGTTGTATGATGCAAGAGAAGGTGGTTGTATGATGGAGGATAGGGTGGTTGTATGATGGAGGAGAGGGTGGTTGTATGATGGAGGAGAAGGTGGTTGTATGATGGAGGAGAAGGTGGTTGTATGATGGAGGAGAAGGTGGTTGTATGATGGAGGAGAGGGTGGTTGTATGATGCAGGAGAAGGTGGTTGTATGATGGAGGAGAAGGTGGTTGTATGATGCAGGAGAAGGTGGTTGTATGATGGAGGAGAAGGTGGTTGTATGATGGAGGAGAAGGTGGTTGTATGATGGAGGAGAAGGTGGTTGTATGATGGAGGAGAAGGTGGTTGTATGATGGAGGAGAAGGTGGTTGTATGATGGAGGAGAAGGTGGTTGTATGATGGAGGAGAGGGTGGTTGTATGATGGAGGAGAGGGTGGTTGTATGATGCAGGAGAAGGTGGTTGTATGATGCAGGAGAAGGTGGTTGTATGATGCAGGAGAAGGTGGTTGTATGATGGAGGAGAGGGTGGTTGTATGATGCAGAAGAGGGTGGTTGTATGATGCAGGAGAAGGTGGTTGTATGATGCAGGAGAAGGTGGTTGTATGATGGAGGAGAAGGTGGTTGTATGATGGAGGAGAGGGTGGTTGTATGATGGAGGAGAGGGTGGTTGTATGATGCAGGAGAAGGTGGTTGTATGATGCAGGAGAGGGTGGTTGTATGATGCAGGAGAGGGTGGTTGTATGATGCAGGAGAAGGTGGTTGTATGATGCAGAAGATGGTTGTATGATGCAGGAGAAGGTGGTTGTATGATGCAGGAGAGGGTGGTTGTATGATGCAGGAGAAGGTGGTTGTATGATGCAGGAGAAGGTGGTTGTATGATGCAGAAGATGGTTGTATGATGCAGAGAGTGATGATAGTGAAGTTTGTATGATGCAGGAGGATGGTTGTATGATGCAGGAGAGGATGGGTGTATGATGCAGGAGAGGATGGCTGTATGGGTGTATGATACAGGAGAGGGTGGTTGTATGATGCAGGAGAGGGTGGTTGTATGATGCAGGAAAGGGTGGTTGTATGATGCAGGAGAGGGTGGTTGTATGATACAGGAGAGGGTGGTTGTATGATACAGGAGAGGGTGGTTGTATGATACAGGAGAGGGTGGTTGTATGATACAGGAGAGGGTGGTTGTATGATAAAGGAGAGGGTGGTTGTATGGTTGTATGATGCAGGAAAGGGTGGTTGTATGATACAGGAGAGGGTGGTTGTATGATACAGGAGAGGGTGGTTGTATGATACAGGAGAGGGTGGTTGTATGATACAGGAGAGGGTGGTTGTATGATAAAGGAGAGGGTGGTTGTATGGTTGTATGATGCAGGAGAGGGTGGTTGTATGATACAGGAGAGGGTGGTTGTATGATACAGGAGAGGGTGGTTGTATGATAAAGGAGAGGGTGGTTGTATGATACAGGAGAGGGTGGTTGTATGATACAGGAGAGGGTGGTTGTATGATACAGGAGAGGGTGGTTGTATGATAGAGAGGGTGGTTGTATGGTTGTATGATACAGGAGAGGGTGGTTGTATGATACAGGAGAGGGTGGTTGTATGATACAGGAGAGGGTGGTTGTATGATAGAGAGGGTGGTTGTATGGTTGTATGATACAGGAGAGGGTGGTTGTATGGTTGTATGATGCAGGAGAGGGTGGTTGTATGTTACAGGAGATAAGTGGACCATCAGTTGCGTCTTGTCTGTTATACACAGGATAACTGTTCTTAACAGTATTCAGTCTGTTATTTCTCGTCAAGGTGAAGTTGATTGTATTAATACATATTTGAGTTGATTTTATTTTATAAATGTTTATTTACTGATGTATATTTCCTTTGTGTTTCAGGTGACACAGAGGGTGTAGGTCGGTGTCTGGTTGAAGCAGCACGTAACAAGGGTTCTGAAGACAACATCACCGCTGTAGTGGTGTTCCTGCGTCCAGTAGCAACACTCATGGAGGAGGAGGCTCAACGTCTTGCCCAGGGCCAGGTTAGTAGTCACCAATATCACCCAGTCTTACAATGCATTCACGGCTCTTTATCACCGTAGTCACACTAACCCAGTATTCATGGTACTTTACTAACTCGTTATTCACCCTTCCTTACTATCCCCTTATTCACCCTTCATTACCAAACTATTCACGATTCTTCACTAACCCCATATTCATAACGAATACTAAGGTACAGTACCGTGACTGAAACAGTACACACACAATCCACATATAGAATAAAAGTGTTGACGACGTTTCGGTCCGACTTGGAACATCAACTTGTCACACAGATGACTGGTCCAAGTCGGACCGAAACATCGCCATATTTTTGTCTCCAATATGCCGGTTATTTGTGTATTGTTCTATATTCAAGGTTCCTACTAACTCCGTATTTACAGCTCTTTAACAACACCACAGTTGCTTCTCCTTGCTAACTCAGGGACGATCATCCTTTAACTTCAAACATAACGAGTACTATTAGGTTGTGACATCCACTGTGGTCAGAGTGTCACCTCACATCTCCAGTGTGTTGAGTTATTTATTTTCGATCACGTACGTGCGGGTATTAAGTCTACACACACTCCTATTGTATCACACTTAACTCTTAGTGATTACGGGGATCATCATCCCTCGACCCATTCTCAGACCAGACCTTTTGAAGATGAGTGAATGCAACACCACAACAGCAGTCCTAAGTCAGGGTAAAAGATCCATCTGTAGTTGATTCCTAGAGTCATGTGCTGTAGTGTTACTGAGGTAGATAGACTGCAGGTGGTAGTACAAGACAGGTTCCTCACTCATGTGTTGTAGTGTGACCCCTGTATTCCAGCCTGTTCCTCCCGAGGTCCGGGGCGGAAGCCAGCGTAGAGACCTCCCAGTATGACTCTTGCTCCACCAAACTGTGACTACTCGCGTCCAGCCTCCCTCTCTAGTGGCTACACAGTGGTTGAGCAGGTACACTTGTATAGGTACACCGTGCAACTTGTGTCTACACCCGTCTACCCTCTTGTCTGTTATTGCCTGTCACTTACACAGTTATGTAATCTTGTTCAGCTATTCTCGTCTGTTCAACCCCCCACCTCCTTACTCCTCTACCATCTACCCTGTGGCACCTTGGGCATACTGGGGGTACTAGTAGTGGCGATGATTTTAGTAGCGATTGTAGTAGTAGTGGCGATGATTGTTGTAGTGGCGACTAGTAGTAGCTGTTAGTGTAGTAGTAGTGGCAATGATTGTAGTAGTAGTGGCGATGATTGTAGTAGTGGCGATGATTGTAGTAGTATTACCAACGGTAAATATTAAATAGTGTCACGTATGTCAACTCGAAACAATATTTGAGAGAGACTGTGGCTAATTATTCTCAGAAAATAGTCTGTACGATTGTTGTTTTCTTAGCCGAGATTTCCATCTTGCTGGTGCACCCCCTCATCCCTTCTCTATAGTTATTATAATGTCTCCTTTCTCTCTCTCTCTCTCTCTCTCCTCTCCTCTCTCTCTCTCTCTCTCCTCTCTCTCTCTCTCTCTCTCTCTCTCTCTCTCTCTCTCTCTCTCTCTCTCTCTCTCTCTCTCTCTCTCTCTCTCTCTCTCTCTCTCTCTCTCTCTCTCTCTCTCTCTCTCTCTCTCTCTCTCCTCTCTCCTCCTCTCTCTCTCTCTCTCTCTCTCTCTCTCTCTCTCTCTCTCTCTCTCTCTCTCCTCTCTCTCTCTCTCCGAGAGTAGAAAAACTCAGGAACTAGATGCCAGGTACATCAAAGGAGGTTCGAGTGCTCAAAGACAATCCGAGTGCAAAGTGGTGAGAGTGAAGGATAAAGTTCTTGTGTGAGAGGCAGTCATTAAGGTGTATAATGTACACAGGCTGTAATTACTCATCCCCGCCGTTCACATAGTGGCTCCCAGCTCTCTCGTATTCAACCTTCGCTTTATTGAATGATTCCAGGTTGTCTTGTATTCTGTTTCAGTCGCTAGTTTCTCATTTCTTCCAAAACCGAATAACTGAAATTTGTCCTCGTTGAAAATCATATTCGTGTCACTGGTCCACTGGTATCCTCTGTAGGGAATAAAAATGGTGCCTTTGTTGTTCGGAGATAAGAATGGGGAAGAGAAGTTGAGTGAGTACAGTGTCTACAAGAACAGTGTTTTTTCACCGTGGCAGCTCCTAATTTCCCTCTTTGCTTTTACTTGGGAAGTTAAATACCCATTTTCTCAGTTTATCACTTATTTCTTTTGCATGCATTTTGTACGCTATGATACCGTGGTAGTAATTGTCAAAGTCTTTTGGAGTCAGTGTACACTACGTACACATTGTTTTCCAGCACATCCAAGACCGTGTCATAATGCTTCAGCAGCTGGGAGATGCAGGAGCGACCCGCTCTAAACCACTGCTGCTCTGGGTTATGTAGTTATTGTGATTCTAAGACATTGGTATAATCTTGCTTCTTGAAACCCTTTCAAAGATTTTGATAATATATGACGTTAGCACTATTGATTTATTGTTTTTTGTAACTGCTTTGCTGCCATCTTTGTGGAGGGCACTACATCAGTGGTTTTTAATGATTCTTGTATCCAGGTTACGCCTATATGCGATATTTAAGGCACTTGATAGTAGTTTCTTGCAATTTTCGATAAATGTGGATTTCACGAGTTTGGGCCAGCTGACCGCCAGCAGCAACAGCAAGCACCAAACAAGCCTGGTCCAGGGCCGGGTTCAGGAGGAGGAAAACTCTGGAAGCCCATCATAGTTATATAAAAAAAACTGGAGCAAAGCGCATAGCCATGCTATCAATGTCGTCTTCAAAACTCGTGTTGAATTAAGATTACATTGAAAATTGAAATGATGGCAGCGTTCGGAGTTTCGTTCACGAAAGAGTCATTTAGATCATTGATCTTAGGAGGGATTAATGGGCAAGTCAGTTCCCCGGTCTTCTAATATACTATTATCCCCCTATAGTCTACCTTTTCCATAATTACTATCGCATTTGCTTTGCTTTCGTAAGGTGAAGTCCAGGATCTTTCCTTAATTCATTGTATAACTTAAATTTTTGCGGACACTTGTGTTGCTTAGACCTTTACAACACAATTGTCCTGTAAGTTATACTATGGATTAATGAATGTTCCTGGACTTCACCATACGAAAGCAGACGAAGAAAATGCGATAGTAATTACAGACAAGGTAGATTATAGGGGAAAAATAAACATAATTTTAGGAGACAGGGGCACTCAGGCTCCTTTTATTGACTCGGTGAAGAGCGAGTCGTGTTGTAGCTTCAGTGTGTCACTCATCTCTTGTCAGTATATGTTACATGTTTAAAGTAAGTGTTTGATATTAGATGTGGGTTTTTGCCCTGGATTTTGTATATGAGAAAAAGAATTTTGGATACCTAGTTTCATTTGTGGCTCTTTCCTCTGTCTTACCTGGACTCGATGTAACATTGTTTCATCTCAACGTTCTCTTCAGTGCTGCCTTTTATAATATCTTAGTAATATTGGTAGAATTACCGACAATAAGAGCACCAAATGAAACATGTTGGGAAGATGGTAAGACCAACATGAATCTGGTATATGCTCCAGACACACAACTTTACGAATAAGGGAAGAGAAGATGCCAATAAAAGGCACTACCTTTACAGGCGAAGATGACTTGTAAGAGATTCTTGGTAAATGTACACAAGTGCAACTAGTGTACAACTATTGTTGCATGTGTTTACATTTACCTAGAATGTCGTATACGTCGTCTTCGCCTGGCAGTCTTCAAGCTGGCACTGGACAAGCACCTAAAGTCGGTTCCTGACCAGCCGGGCTGTGGCTCGTACGTTGGTTTGCGTGCAGCCAGCAGTAACAGCCTGGTTGATCAGGCTCTGATCCACCAGGAGGCCTGGTCACAGACGTGGCCGCGGGGTTGTTGACCCCCGGAACTCTCTCCAGGTAAACTCCAGGTAGAGGAAGTGCCTTTTATTGGCATCTTCTCTTCCCTTTGTGTAAAGTTGTGTCTGGAGCATATATGAGATTCATGTTGGTCTTACTATCGTCCCAATATGTTTTATTTGGTGCTCTTGTTGTTGAAATTGATCTTGTAGACTTCCCGTCTTGTAATTGATCGTGGTTCGCTGTTCCAGACCAGTTTATGTACAGGACCTAACCTCGATTAGGTTGTGGTCTGAGTTTACTGTCTGACAGTTGACACTTGAGTCCCAGACTTCATCTTTCGTGAAGAAGGTCGATTGTATTTACTAGTCTGGTCGGTTCCGCTATGTGCTGGCTTAAGGCGAGGCTGTTGCAGAAGTTTAATAATGTTGTGTATGGATGTTCATCCAGACCAGACCTTGGGATTCTCTGTTGTTGGTCTCGGATACATTCTTCCATTTCAGATATCTTAGTCACCAAGCAGTAGGATATTTGGTGCTAGTCTTGATTGGTTTTCAAGATATTACTCTGATTTCTATAGTTGGTTTTATAACTGCTGGCAAGTTGTATCTGATGGTTCATGTAAAAGTACAACAACTAGATTTTGATTTTCAATTATTATTAACTGTCAAGTCTTCGACTACATTATTTGTGAATGACTAACTCAGTGCATATGAGCGATTCTAACACGCCACCAACCAACCTTCTTCCCCCCCCCCCCCGATCCTTGTTGCCTGTTTTTTTACAGTCTCGTCTAAATATGTACCCAGGTATCTATATTTCGCTGTCAGTTCGACACACCTTCGGGAACCAGTGACGGGTCACCATCTGGCAAAGACCCGTGTCAGGACTTCGTTCCTGGTGAATATATTATCACCAGCTGTCAATTTATGCTTGTATGAGAGTCTTCTTAAAGCTGCAAACTTTACATTTGACTCAGTGAGGAGAACACTGATGAATGATATTCTGGTTTGACTGTTGAAGATTTTGCATGTTTACAAATACACGTGATATATTGTTGCTGTGCTGGGGCACTTAATGTTGAAATTAACATGTGAGGAGCTGATGAGTCTGCCACTAGTCCAATATCACTAGCACTAGAAAACATCTCTGCTTGCTGTATGGTTATGGCTTTTATATTCAGATGTATGTTCATGATGCTTGATACGCATTCCTTCACGTAGAATGTCTGGCAGTTTGCATCAGCAATGATTCATTGAAAGTATGTGCAGGTCCTGGAATGACATGTGTCTTTATTCATTAATGTATCATGTCTTAGGATGGTCATGTTTACAGTTTCATTTTATTTTTCCAGTTGGTTCATATCTGTAAATTCCTCAGGTGTAGTGACGACACATTTAGATTTTTTGACAGTTGTAATTTATTTAGTTTAGGTTGACGAACATTCGTTTTCAGTAGTGGCAACTGACTCGGGTATCTATTTATCTATCTGGTGCTACTGAATGTGTAATATTTTGTAATATAATTTGTGTAGGGCAGGAGGGTGTGGGCAGCACTGTGCTCTGCACCAGTACTTCATTTACAATAAAATAAAATGGTCGGGGAACTGGGGTAAATTACCCCAAATGGGGTAAAAATGAAATTCTCGGGGGTAAAGAAGACTCAATAAACATATAAATGAAATTCCACAAAAAAATTATTATTTAATAAGCGAGGCAAATTATCATCAAAAAGCCATAATTTTGATAATTGTTGTATCAAAAATGAAGCAAAATTATTTCTCCAAAACCTGAAGTGATAATGTTTTTACTGAAATTGTTAAGTTTCCTAATGAGATTTTTATTAAATTTGTCTGTTACTATTTATTTCATGAGTTAATTTTTCATTCTATTATTTTATTAATTTTGTGTTGCATTTTGAAGTTGTTCAGCTTGTATGACTTTATTCTTCATACAAATGGTTTCAGTAAACTATTTTGAATTTGAATGTTCGTTATGTTGTCCGGGTTCTGTGGACTTTCAAGTTTAGTGCGTAATTTTGCTGTACACAAATTTGTTTTGGGTTAATACCCAAAAAGTTCAACGACCTCTTACATGATGAACTTGCTCCACTGAGTCAGCAGTCGTATTAGAGTTACCTGCTGAACTTTGAATAACATTTTGAATACTGTCTTCAACATTCACATTTCTGCTGCGACAGTCTTACCCATTTGTTATATATTTTAGTTGATTTATCCAAGAGAGCCCCTCTGTTCTGATGTCTGTTACTTAGTAATTCCTTTAGTACTATCCTGGAACCTGCCCAAGTCCCATATCCTTATCACAAATCCAAAATCACCTATCATTTGTAGAAACAATGTTCACTCTCCTATATAAGACATGGTAATTAGACATAACCACACATAACCATTCTTGTTCTTCCAATTTTTTTTGCACACATTTTACAGACAGTATTCCTGTACGCCATCCTGACAGTATCTTATAAAACATTTAACTGCCCCAGCAGTCTTCACTGATTTAGACAGTCTGGCAGCTTCTCACACTAGGGCACGGTATGTGTTCATTGCCTGTACTGTCATGTCTCTTTTCTAAATCTGAAGTGATCTAACTTGAATTCTGTCTTCCACTTGTATACTCAGTCGTACCTCCCTTCATGGCACGTCTTTGGAGAGTATACTTGGCTCACTTCATTGGTTGCCATTTGAAAGTCTGATATCCTATTTCATCGATTACTATATCATATAGCAGTTAATTTATTTTTAGTTAATGCAGACCTTGTATTCAGTTTGATGGTATGTTATCGTTAACTGAAATAATTTACTGTTTCTCTCACACAAGTTGGCAGGCAAAACTTACGAACTTGTACTTCCCCTCATTGCCCTGTGTGCCTGATAGTTCTTATGTCCGTAGTCTTACCTTTTCATTTTAAGTGTCCTGATCTGAGAGCGGGTCACGGGGGCAATGATCCCTAGGTATTAACAGATACACGCATCTTTAAATTCTTTATCTTAACAAGGAGATCATGTATTCTCCCTCCTCTTTGCAGGTGCCCGACCCTGTGCCCGCCGTCGTTTTGTCCAAGGACTCAACCCCATCGTCCATCAATGCCATCTTCTCTCCTCCCATCAACCAGTTCGAGTACAACTCTCCCACAATCCCCACCTACAACCCCTTCGAAACAGAGAGCCCCCTGGGGGAGGCCTATAACGAGTACAACATGGAGACTGAGGCTGCTGCTGCTCCCACCTCCCTGGAGTTCAAGGTAATATAACTATCATGTTATAAATTCTTTACCAACATGAAAAGTAAGACATGCACGACAGCGCTGGAAGCAGTACAAGTAATATTGATGGGATCAGTCCGTCACTCTCGGTGGGAGGCAGTCAGTCCCCTCCCACTGAAGGGGGCAAGGGACTGACCTTGTACTGACCTTATAAGGTCTGGCTACTTGCTTGAGGGACTGACCACCACCCACCGAGGGCGACAGACTTATCATGTCAATATTACTTACGAAGATTGAGACACTTATGCAACATACGACAATCTTTATTTAGGAAACATTTCGCCACACAGTGGCTTCGTCAGTCCAATGCAAAGTAGAAATTGGTAAGGAGAGGAGGAGTTTGAGGTAATCAGTCCCTCAACCTGGAATCGATGTGTTCAGTCCATCACTCTTGTAGAAAGTACAGCATATGGTCGGAGAAGTGGCTTATATATTGTAGTCAGGCGAGTCGAGCAGGAGGCGGGATCACAGTGGAATCTTCCACTAGTCTCTAATCTGACTCAGGAAATCGTAATGACACGATTGTAAACAAAGTCTCTGACCGCAGGTTCAAACCCCGCCCGTGGTGTGGTTTGGTTTCATCCACTAGTGTAAGTAGATCTTCGTCCAAAGATTGAACAGGTATTTAAGAATTCCTTGTATCAAGATCCCATGGTGTTGCAGTGTCTGACAGTTGTGATAAATGGTTTTGGGATCTTGATACAAGGAATTCATCAATACTTGTCCAGCCTTTCGATGAAGACCTACTTACACTAGTGGATGGTCCCACTGTGATCCCGCCTCCTCCTCACCTGACTACAGTATATAAGTCACTTCTCCGGCCATATATTGTACTTTCTACAAGAGTGATGGACTGAACACATCGATTCCAGGCTGAGGGACTGATTACCTCAAACTCCTCCTATCCTTACCCGTTGCTACTTTGTATTGGACTGATGAATCTACTGTGTGGCGAAAAGTTTCCTTAATAAAGATTCCCATATGTTGCATAAGTGCCTCAGTCTTCAACTTGTCGGTTTTCAAAACCATTTATCACACAAATATTACTTCTACTTTCTCTGCCATATCCGACTACCTCTTCAAGGGTGATGGACTGATTACATTGTCATCACATCTCTTCTGCTTTTGCCAACTTTTCTGTGTGTGGAAAAAGGCACTTTTGTACAGTTCAGGACATTTATTAAAGGAAACGTTTCACCAACCAGTGGCTTCTTTAGTCCGGTACAGAGAAGAATGGCCAAAGATCAGGAATAAATAACAAAAAGGCACAATACCGTGACTGGAACGATACACAAATAACCCGCACATAAAAGAGAAGCTTACGACGACGTTTCGGTCCGACTTGCACCATTGACAAAGTCACACTGTCGTAAGCTTCTCTCTTTTATGTGCGGGTTATTTGTGTAAAGATCAGGAGTTTGAGGTAACTATTTCCTCGGCTTGGAGTCGAGGTATCAGTGCATGGATACCCAGATGTTGCACAAGTGATTAATTCGTCATCTTGTCGGTTCTCTGAATCATTCACTTAAAATACGTAAGTTAGTGTGAATAGGATCTATCTAAAATGGGCCAGTAGGCCTACTGCCGTCCTCCTCTGTTATCACGTTATTTTGTGTGGCCCACAGCACGGGGAGGAACCCATGGAAGGCAGTGAGGCTCCGCAGGTGGGTGCCCACGACTCTGATTCTGACGAAGCTGCTGCTGCCGCTGCAGGAGCCCAGGGTGTGGCCCAGCCCTTCAACCTGCACGATGCACCCACACCCACCGCTGAGGAAGGTAAGTCTTATTATACATATTTTCATTCCTGCTGGTGCCCCTAGCACCAGTGTCCTGATCAGGCTGTCACCAGGTGTGCTCCAGGGGTGATACTTCCTACTATCATGTGGGATTCGAACACGTGGATAGGGTAAAGTAATACTCACGTAGGCTGGTAGTACGTATAATTATGGATAATGTGGGGAGCGCCCAAACAGCCGTACCTATCTCCTTGCTCACTCTCGTCAGACTAACTGGCCGCCCACAGTACCCATATGTGAGGGGGTCTTTGAATACTGCTGGGGTCAGCACAATATGAATACAGACAGTGACTCGGGCAGAGACAGTTGGTAGTGAGTCATCTACTGGTACACTGGTTACTGGTAACTGGTTACTACTACTGAGACTACAACAATTAACAAGTAAGTATCTTACCAAGAAAAAGCTTGAAAAGATTCAGATGAATAAATTGAGACTTAAAAAGGATGTGAGGAAAATACTGGTTTGGCAATATATTTATAATGCAACAAGTTGGCTAATAGCATCATTAAATAACTTTGGAGATAAATTAAACAAATGAGTAGGAATGGGAGGGTGTGAAATTGACGTGCCTAGCATGCACCAGTAGCTCTAGTTCCTCTGTACACAGTACTACCTCGCTATCATTATTATGATGAATGACACCTGATTAATAGGACACAAGAATGAAAGAACACTGCAGTAAGTCTGTTGACCTATGCTAGGCAGATCCAACTCTCACCCATGCACACCCACTCAGGTACCAACCATATTTAAAGCTATCCAAGATAATCCTAGGACATGTTAGAAAAAGTTTTGCTCCTGGGATCTTGATCAAGGTCCCAGGAGCAAAACTTTAATATGTCCCTGAGTTTGTTCATGAGTCTTTTTAAAATACTTTTTTTTTTTTTATTATCACACCGGCCGATTCCCACCAAGGCAGGGTGGCCCGAAAAAGAAAAACTTTCACCATCATTCACTCCATCACTGTCTTGCCAGAAGGGTGCTTTACACTACAGTTTTTAAACTGCAACATGAACACCCCTCCTTCAGAGTGCAGGCACTGTACTTCCCATCTCCAGGACTCAAGTCCGGCCTGCCGGTTTCCCTGAATCCCTTCATAAATGTTACTTTGCTCACACTCCAACAGCACGTCAAGTATTAAAAACCATTTGTCTCCATTCACTCCTATCAAACACGCTCAAGCATGCCTGCTGGAAGTCCAAGCCCCTCGCACACAAAACCTCCTTTACCCCCTCCCTCCAACCCTTCCTAGGCCGACCCCTACCCCGCCTTCCTTCCACTACAGACTGATACACTCTTGAAGTCATTCTGTTTCGCTCCATTCTCTCTACATGTCCGAACCACCTCAACAACCCTTCCTCAGCCCTCTGGACAACAGTTTTGGTAATCCCGCACCTCCTCCTAACTTCCAAACTACGAATTCTCTGCATTATATTCACACCACACATTGCCCTCAGACATGACATCTCCACTGCCTCCAGCCTTCTCCTCGCTGTATTAATTACCAAGGTGATACTTATAATTGGCAGTGGAATATAACATTGTAGTGAAGTGAAAATGAATCCATATATAGCAGTCCCATCATCCCAGTTTGTATAAATGGGGATCAGTCATATATCTTGCATTCATCAGTGTTAGAATTCATCACAGCCTCGCTGGCGGGGGATTCCTCTGTAAAAAATTGCAATTTTGTTCACAATGGGGCCCATGCTAGCCTCCCTATGGTATAAAAAAATATACCTAGTTGGACGAATCTTATTGAACTCACCTGGCCCAGTGGCTTCCGCACTGGCCTGGAGTTTTACCACTCACTCGCCATGGGTTCTAACCCCACCAGTACCGTGGTTTTCATGATCTAAATTGACAAATTTTGATGCATATGGAACCGCCCATTATATTTGGAGGACGGGTTGTATATTTGAGTGGAATCTTAAACCCCTTAGGGTCTAAGCGCCTGGGGAAATGAGAGGCAATCAGATTCGATCCCAAAAAGGCGAGGTCAGGTTTAATTCCTTGATGAAGAGCCCCTTACAGGTGACTAGAAACATCCATTATGGGTGCGCTGGTTAGTTTATTCGTCAGGAGAAAAAAATGACACGATTTCTTGACACACAACTATTTACTGGTATCAGGGCTATGATGTGGGAGAGTGGGGTCTGATGTGGGAGAGTGGGGTCTGATGTGGGAGAGTGGGGTCTGATGTGGGAGAGTGGGGTCTGATGTGGGAGAGTAGGGTATGATGGGGAAGAGTAGGGTATGATGGGGAGAGTGGGGTATAATGGGGGAGTGGGGTATGATGTGGGAGAGTTGGGGTAGTCAGGATGCACTTTAGTGGGTTGGATCTAGATGCAGTAGTGATAATGGCGGAAGCCACACACACAAAATGCCATGACAATAAATGTCCCAGCACTGATACATTGCCAGTAAATGGTTCAAAAACACACGTGAGCAAAGTTTAGAACATTTATTTAAAAACGTTTTTGGTTCTGAGACTTTGATCACTTCAGGACCGAAACGTTTGCTAATAAATGTGTTTTAGTGTTTGCTTACATGTCTTTTTAAACCACTTTGTTGGTATCAGTTGCCAAGTTTATACCAGGTTGCCTTTAAACATGACCTAAAGTGAATACATTTCTTTTTATCCATTACTTGTTAGCATCATGTACCTTGATATCAGTGAGAATTTGCTTTTGAGTAGGACCTATCTGTTGTGGGTCAGTGGGCCTACAGCAGTGCTCATTTTTTTAAGATGACGACGAACCTCTTATTAATAGTACGTGATAATCAAAGAAAGGTAACTTGTGGCTTGTGTGTTGCATTTTTTGGGATGAAAACTCAAAAATCAACACTTCACTTCGTACCTAATGATGAGACGTTGCACCGACTAGTGTATATCAATTGAGTCTCGGCCACACACACTCACACTCACTCACTGGTGCCAGAGGAGAGGTGCAGCAATCACATCATCACATGTGTATAGAACTCATTATTGGAAGTTAGCGAACTCTTGGGTAAATACTTTGACAGTTCTTGAGCGTGACCACCAATGTGTTCCGCCCACCTGTTATGTCTTCAGTTCCTACAATTATTCTCTAGTTCCAATACATTGGCCTCCATCTTCATAAATTTGCCTTAAATTTATCAAGCACTGAAAGCCCATCAAGGCTGCGGATTAATTTATCCGTATTGTATACAGTTAATGTAACATAACTTTGTACCTTTATTACTGATAGGTAAATAGGGACAAGAGGTATAACTACGCAGGGAAAATCGAATGCTGGTCTCCTCAGTTGTAAGTGCAATGCTCTGCCAATGAGAAGGTAGAGGAGAGTAGCTTGAGACTACTCTCACTCAACGTCTACGTGGAGACTATGATAGATGTCTGGAGTCATGCATGGCTGGTGTAGTTTGCCAGCCAAGAATGCCGCCGGAAATACACTCATCAGACCCTAACCTGGCGGCTGTGGCGCAGTTTTTTTTATATATAACAAAATTGATTACATCCACACTCCCACAATGGGCTTCTAGCTTACACTGTATGAGAGTAACACTGTGGGAACACCAGCAGTGCGCTGCTACCTTAATACACATGTGCAACAGTTGGGTATCTTTATTGATGAAACGTTTCGCCTACACAGTAGGCGTCTTCAGTCAGATACAAAGGGAGCAGTGGTAATGAAATAAAAGATGTAATCAGTCCATCAACCTTGGAGGAAAAGTATTTGAGGTGGTTAGTCCCTCAGCCCTCTACTAGGTAAGAATGCTCTAGTAGAAGGGTTTTTCCTAGATCAGATATAAGGACAGGTTTTTTTTTTATAGTTTTGATAGAGCAGACAGTTTTCCTGGCTGGTAACCAAACTCAACCCTGTTATCTGCCTCAGTGCTGGAGGCAATGATTGTGGGAAGTGTAGGAGTGAGGACTTGCTTACCAGGTATAGGGTAACTATTAGATATAATTTGTAAGTAGAAAGTATGTTAATGCCGAAAATATGGGTGAAAGAACACAAATGCATAAATACACTTAGGACATCTTTATTATGTGTGTTTCAGCCCTGGAACCTTGGTATCTCTGAATGATACCACAGAATGAGAAAGCACATGTGTTGAAGAGTGCAAGTCATAGGTGATGGCCAGGTGAAGGTGCGAGGTCTCCTAATTACCGTGTCACGTGGCAGGTGAGAGGTAGCATGTTGCAGCATCATACATGTAAGAGTTGAGATATATTTCCCAGCCCTTTGTTCTATGGTGTTGCAAGTAGCAGTTGTTGGAAATAGTAATCAGGGCTTCTGTACACTGATGGCCATTCCTGTTAGATTCCTGTGGATCATTTGTTTTGTTCCAGTGAATGAGATGGCTTTCTTCACACCTGTGTACTACACAAACATTGCTGGCGCTGTCACACTTGCAAGCATATTTTTGTTCTTGACATAAGTGTAAAGATTTCTTCCATTTCATTCCCGCATGGCATGGAGTATGCTCTGGCTTCTTTGTTAGGTGTGTAATAAGGGTCTTTCTTCCTACCGAAGTCTCTGATTAAAGTTGTGGCCATGGCAGCTACGCGAATTTTAATTCTGGAAAGTGCATACATGGTGTTATCCATTATTTTCTCCAGGTTGTCTTAATCTGGGGTTCTCCGTAGTGGCATTGTTAGACTTCAGTTCTGCGCTGCAATCTTGTATACCGTAAGGAGGAAAGTGTAAGTGTGTGAAGGTACGTGTAAGGTACTGGAATTCTTCTAAGAATTCGTGACTGAATAAATGGATAGCTCTTAGAGAAAGCTCAGTTGTCGCACACCTTTTGGTGCGAGTGACTTAGTGAGAGTAGAAATCAGTAAGGTCATCTTTATTTGCGAGGTTTCTGTAGACTGAAGGAATGGGTGTCTTAGACAGGTGATCTGTACAGAAGAGCATCAAGAAATGATTATTTGCTGTCGTTTTCCAGTTTCAAGAGTAAATTCGATAGTTTCGAAAATGTTGCTC